TACTACAAGCTAATATGTAGCAAGGCTGACTTTAAATGAAAGCTGGGGTTCTCAACTTCAGCTATCAATGGAGTGACAGAAAGGAAATGCTGCAGTGAGCGATTCCCTGGACATCCGCTGGTCCAGCAAAGGAAAAGGATTGAAGAGCATGAGTCCACCATGCACATCGTCTACACCAGCTGACCTCCCTCTGGGTCAGACCAGGGGACATTGCTGAGACTGCAAAGACAAATTTTTCACTTTCTCAGCTACAGCAGTTCTTTAGAGAGAGTCTGTAGACTAGATCAGTTTGGAGAGCTATCACCAGGCATCCTTTACAGACATTGATCCCACTCAATTTTTCGAAAGGATGAAAATGCACCTATGTCCAGATCATAAGTCTCTGTCTTGGCCTTCTTAACCAAGGAGGATAATCAGAAAAAAAAAAAAAAATATGCTGGAACCACTTCAAACTATTTGAACCATTTGTTCTCTGTGAAGACCATCTTCAGAATCAAAAGCTGTAGGTATTCTTCTTTCTCACAAGACCCACAAAACACTCCAGCAAACAAAACCCAGGGCTTATACTCAAAAGATTATATTAAAAAGAAATAAAAACTAGATTTCTTATAGGCCTAGACTCTGTGCCACTTCCTCTTAGCTGTAGGAATAATTTTAATGACAATAACATTGGGTAAGCCACGCAAAACTATTAGCTTTTACCTTAATTGATAGTCTTTTTAATGCCTAAAAGTTGTTTAATCTCTTCAGTAACAAGCATGCTAGAGTAGAAAGGGAACTCAGAAAACATAAAGCTGGAAAGAGCTTACACTTTCATCATAAAAACATACCCTTCTTTTTTTTTGTTGGAATCAATATTGAAATGAGATTCATACCAGAAAATAGCTTTTTCAGGCACACTAAATATCCCTTGGTTCAGAAAAAAAAGCAGAATATTTAATCCCTTTGGATCAGGCACTTGGATTTTCTTAGATCATGCTGAGATAACAGCATTCTGCTGTGTTCTGGCACCATAAAATCCTTGCTTATGAAAATAAAAGAAAAATATGGCCTCTCTGGGAACATACATCTCTGAATTACTTTTTTCCATAGTTTAAATATTGTAGTCTCAAAATCAATTTTTACACAGATATACCACATTCTCTTTATGAGTCATGGCAAAAGCTCTCCCGCACCACTATTTTAAATGGGCCAAGTGTACATATACCCTTCAAAATGATGATCCTTTCACAGTCTTGGCTCAGACTCCAGCTCATGCTGGGCAAGTGCCAACGAGTAACTGGAGTCAAACCCCTCCAACAGCACCATCTAGTGAAAGAAGGATAAAATAAACACATGCAAATTTAAACAGTTTTCACTGCATTCTGGAAACTAACAAAAGGCCAATTCTCTCCTAATCTCCCATTACAACTGCATTTAGGTATAGCTTTCATCAAGGCTCTTTGCCTTGTGAAGTGTGGTGACAAGTAGAGAAAGATTCAACAGCTAATTGTAAGCTTTTTGTCTAAACCTGGAACACCACTTGGAACACATATAAACTTTCTCTTGTTTATTTTTCCAACATTAGGCTTGCATTTTTCTTATTGTTATGAAAAATAGAAGCATTTTAAAATGCTTTAAAATTACTGATAACATAGCAACTTCTATTTCCTCCTCTTGTAGTGGGAGATGATATTATAAGACTCTTTTTTATATATATAAGCAACTCCAGAATAAAAAGGAAATAATATACGCATATAATCTCAACAACCTTTTTAGCTCTTATTTTCATATAATTGTAATATCTTGTATGAATATATTACTGAAGCATGAAAGGCTTGTTCATGAGAAAGGGCACACACAGCTTCCATTTGTAACTTTAACGTGACCAGTCTCCCTTGTTTCAGAAAGACTACTCTCTGAAGTTGCATTGGTGCTTAGATCTTTCACAGGGTCAGAGCAAAATACTTTGGCTATGTGGCAGAAATAAAGCAGTAGAGCTCTTAATTGTGTGCTCAAGGGTCTTGTTTGAATAGTTTTTCAATCAGGAGGAACAGATTCTGTACTTTTGCCAATGCGCATCTTCAATGCCATTCAACTTGCAAGTGGGCTGTAGAAGGGATTCTGTAACAACAGTAGTCTGCAGGTAACACACACGTGCTTTTACAGGTATTCCATCTTATTTTCAAGATGGACCAGATTTACAGTACCCATGCAGTAAGCTTATCTAATTAGACTTGCTCCATGGGGCTGTTCAGATCAGCATACTCATGTGCTAACTGTGCGCTCATTTCCAGACATTCAGCATGATACAGTAATTTCTTGCATTTCCAACCCTACGGCCTGGTCAAACCCTTCCCCCCAATTCCCCCCCCCCCCTAAAAAAACACCAAAAAACAAGTCCACAAATCTCAAGTATGCAACATTTCAAAGCATGGCACTGCACATTTGGTACCACTAGCTATCTCAGCCTTCTATTTGGTGGACTACAAAGCATAATTCATTAGAGAATTCTACCCTACATAGGAAATTATGTCTAAATAAAGGCAATCTGCTCTTGACAAAGCTTCAGTAATTTTCCCTCTGGAATGCAGATAGGGAAAGGTGGACTCAATTTTATAATCTTAAAAAAAGTAGTTAAAGGTCTCTAAGTGATACTTCAATTATTTTAATCTCACAGGGCACACGCTCGGGTAGTATGAGTAAAGTTTCACGAAGTTACTTGAGGTCTCAAAACCTCCAATTCCACATGGCCAAAGGTTCCCTCCTCACTGTCCCAGCTAAGCCCAAACAGAAAAACTTCTTCAGGATTCCCATACTCCTCCTGGTAGGTTGTTGCTACACTGCTGCTCCTTTGAGGCCTCTCTCACTCGGTATTAGTTTGCAAATCAACTTGTTTGCCCTTCTTTGCTCACCTACAACAACGTTACCTACTTTCATTGTCTGGCTCCAAATTAAAACTATTATTGTGGTACAACTAGAAGTCCCTCTACAAACACAAAAGAGAAATTAATTCCTACTGCAAAGCAGTAGAAAGTGCTCTCCTATAATAAGTCTCCTTACACCATTTGGGTTGGAAGCTTGCACTGTTTTTTCATCCCTATATCCTGTTACAATTGCTTTTACTTCTTTGCATTTTATATTTTCTCTTCAACCAGTCATCTGATTAACTCCTCCCTTAAGAACTCAGTTACATCTAATTTTGACAGCTTGTAACGATATATTAGAATTAAAGAAAAATCTTAAAATAAAAGTAAGAACAGAATAGGAAATTTTACTGGGTAAACACTAGCAGGAACCAGATTCTGACACTTCTATTTGTGTGCAAGGTGCACAACTCCTTTGAAAGTCCCACCAAAATTGGATAGAGCAGAGAGCACACTGGCCCATCTACTGCTTTGGATCAGCTGATCACCATAATCCCCTTAAGTTTCCTGAAAATTACCACAGTTAATCCTTTAAGGAAAGGATGTCTGGATATGCCAATACTGAACAAAGAAACAACTGCTGAATTTCCAAGAAACCATGATAGTAGGATTTCAATGTTAAAAATGAACCATAGTTTTTCTCATGATATAGAATAGGAACACTGATTCATACTACTTAAAAAGTAGGATAATACAGAATAGTATGAACGCCCAATATGTATGGGATATTACACACATTGTATGTAATCCTGAATGTATTGCATACATATTACACTGAATATATTACACACATACAGACAATACATACTGCATACAGTATGAACACACAAAATTAGTCATCACTGGTTACGTTGTCACTAGAAGTTACCTCACTGGAACAACCCACATGTAAAATATTATGATACACTGCAAATATGAGTGAGATATCACAAGTGAAATTCATCACAGAAATTGGCAGAAGTATCCATAACTGCTAGTTATGGGTAAAAAAATCTGTACAAAAAGAAAACCCCAAACCACAAAACAGAAAAGGTACTGGATGCAGAAATACATGCATAGACCCTCTTAGCTGTCAACTATTACACCTAGGAGTTCAAATATTTTACAAGTTAGTTAAAAATAATATACCAGGCATGAAGATACCTTAAATAGAAATAGTGTCATTGACGCTATATTTAATATACTGTATTCTTATTCTTATAGTATTCGTATTGGATATAAAGCCCCAGCACACTGAATAGGTAAACTGACAAAATTTATTACACTTGATGCGGTTTTTTTAAGTGAACTTCTTCATATTGATATCATACATATACATAACAATGATATTACTGGTGCATTGCTACAAGAACTATTTTGAACAAACATTTAAATTGCTAGTTAGCATTTTCTCAATACAGTGACAGTGTTTTCACAAGTAAAATAATGGCCATTTATTTACAAATAGAGAAATCAATGGTTTAGCAGGGTGTACTCCACCACTGAGGTACAACAGATTTATATATTTTTTATTTGTTTAAAATCATGCCTCTCCAACCTCAAAACTAAGGGTCTTCAATGAGATCTAAGCTGGCAGGACAGTAACACTCTTGGAACATTATTTGATACTTATCTGTTGCAGCACTAATGTATTATAAGCAAAAGGTAAGAGCAAATTGTTTTAACTCTATAAAGTCAATGAACACCCATGAGTTTCCCACTTGTGAAAGAAAGCTGGATCTGACATCAACTAAAAGGAGGACTTCCACTCACTTTTTTCCCCCACTATGGTCAGGTGTCTGATCTTTGCTATGGCTGAAAAACGGATTAACCTGAGTTAACTATGAGGGATTCAAGCTTCATTAGAACAGCCATGTGTGTTGGACGCAACACAGATGCCCTCAGTAGAGGCCCTACAGGGTAAGACTTGGTTTTTGCACTAACACAACTTTTGGTGTTTCTGTGGCTTTACAGACTCATTAGGGAAAAGCAGAAAAGCCCCTTGTCAATTAAACCATAAGGAACATTCTGCTTGATATGGTATTAGCTCAGGAGATCAGAATTTGCACATTAAAAAAAACCATGCATCAATCATATTAATGCCCACATACATACCATCCAAAATAATGTCCCTGTAGCAAGAGCTGCATACTGTTCAATTGTAGAAAGCACGCTGAAGATAAGGCATATCAGCACAATAAGGAAGCTGTAAATAAAAAATAAAACAAAATAAAATAAAAATAATGTAATGCAATCTAGTAAGAACCTAGAGGGAGAACAGATAATTATGCCATTACAAATTATCTGTACACACAGAAATGTCATTGGTATTGGATTATCTTAAAACACAGCTGGTAACTTTTGAGTGATCCTGCTTCATGTTGGGTAGTTTATTTCTCTTCAGACACTGAGGTTTTGGGTTGGACATTATCAAATGAAACCACACAATAACATTACCTTTAGCCTACCTTTAACACTTGCTGTTTCCTAGGCCCTCAGGAAAACAGCATTCCTTGTTCTTTCCCACTGTAAGGGCTACTATGGCTGAATCACCACCACACAACCCCCCCCAACATGTTTCAAATATTTGCCTTTTTGCTGTTCCAAATTTTAATAAACTGCAGAGAAAAATCCCAACTAAACCAGAGCTTTGTCTTTTATAACCCATCACCAAAAGGCCCAATAGAATCTGACATTTGGCACCTTAAACAACCTAGGACTGATTCTATTTTTAAATAAAACAAAATTTCAAAGCAACTATCAGAAATAGAGTAGGAATATAAGGGTTTGTTCCCTGGATCACCCTGCCAGAGTGAGTCCTTCAGGAGAGGGTCCTGGTTCCCAAGGTAAGATTCGGGACAGCCAGGGACTTGCAGCAAACTCAGCCCAACTGCCTGTAGCCCCCCAAAAGCCTTTTCCCCCAGGTGGGGAGCAAGGCTGCAGGCAGCTAAACACCACACAGCCATTCGCTCACTCCCCCCTCAGTGGGATGGGGAAGACGGGAATCAGAAAAAAAGGTAAAACGCTTGGGTTGAGATAAAGACAATTTAATATGACAGAAAAGGAAGGGAAAATAACAATAATGATGATAAAAGATTACACAAAATGAGTGATGCACAATGCAATTCCTTACCACCCACTGACCGATGCCCAGCCAGTTCCCAAGCACCGGCCGTGGCCCCCCACACCCCCAGCCAACTCCCCGTAGTTGTTTTGTTCAGCATGACATCATATGGCATGGAATATCCCTTTGGCCAGTATGGGTCAGCTGTCCTGGCTGTGTCCTCTCCCAGCTTCTTGTGCACCCCCAGTCTCCTCACTGGCAGGGCCTTTACTCAGCGTAAGCACCACTGAGCAACAACTAACACGTCAGTGAGTTATCAACATTACTCTCATCCTAAATCCAAAACACAGCTCTACACCAGTTACTAGGAAGAAAACCGGGACACCAGCCCTGCAGCCTCTGCCTTCGAAGCCCTTCCTTGAGCAGCTTTGGCTGTGCCCACCACCCTGCAGGACTGCTGCTTGCCCTGAAGGAACATAACGCATTTGGGAAGCAAAACATGTAAGACCCAGACTGGATGCTATCCACTACACACTAGGCACAGACAGCTTCCAGCTCCCAAACAACTGCGTGTTTCTTTTTAAAACATGACATGAGCAATGAAGACTACTTAAAACATTCACTTGCTAAACACAGAGCTAGCTGTTAGGGATATTTTTCATAATTCTGTTGAGACAAACACCACCAATCCTTTGCACCCAACAGAAACTTGCTGCAAAATCCAGCATCTAAATCACACACACACCCATTACAGATCTCTAAAAGTTAATTAATCAGGGTTTTTTTTCCCCCCTCAGAAAAACAACAACAAAAAAGAACTGACACAATGAAAAAAACTGAACTCAAGAGAAGAAATATTAAAACAGAACATCAGTGGCTGCAGATTGGCATGGCTCAGCTGAAGTCACCCAGAGCCTTCACCTTTTGTCACACAAGTGAGAACTTCGTTAGGTGAATCTTCTGAAAGGCCAAGCACTCAAGAAAACAAAGATGTGTCAAGGCTGACATTATAAGCTAGACTGCCCAACAACTGCTTCAAAATACAGCACATGTAAGTTCAATGCACACATAGACAAATGATACTGTAAACACATTACAAAATCGTAGAGAGGAGGTTTGAGGTAAATAGGTACAAAAATCAAATTAGTAAGTGGTAACAAATTGAAGTTAATAGGAAAGAGATCATCACATATCAACACAAACACACATATGAGAATATAATTTTACCACGGCAAAGTATAAATATGTGGGTGTTTCCAATTTATCTCTAAAATCTTCTCATTTTACCTTGTATCTCTAACTTTGGCCATTCTTCAATAGAAGTAAAGTGTGCAGACAAGGCAGGGGAACTCAGACGACCCAGCCATTTGAAACATAAGTGTTCCCCAAGCATGCAGCCCTTCTAGCTGCAATGTTCCCACAACCGCTGAAGACCGATACACATGACAACATGAACATAAATGGGTTCAGTTACGCGGAGGTTGCTAAGGGTCTCTGGATAAAAAGTCCAACATACATAGAAGTACTAGTTCAACGCAAACAACGAGTTGCATAGGGTGGTGTAAGCTGTCTGAATACATCTTGAGTAGTAACAATTAATACTTATCATATCCCTTAACAGTAGTAGACTTGTTAAAAGTGTAACTCGGCCAACAGATGAAACCACAAGAGGGCACCAAGGCAAAGACCATCCCATTTCTGTGCTTTTCCTAAACAAACACAAGTAAAAGAACCTAATAAGGATTAAAAGTGAAAGTTTGTGTGCCTAAGTGACAGGAAGATAAACTTAGGGTAAATCATTTGTGAAACCTCTCTGCTTGTTACTATTAGAGAAGTTGAAGGCATCAAGTGCCAGTCACCACACCACCTACTTTTCTGAGTTTTCATGCACATGGATCCATTTCAGTCTTACTGATTTTTTTTTTTCACCCCAGAAAAACTCTTGAAATTTGTTGTTGAGCTCTTTCCAGGCTGCAGCATGACTCACCTTCATACCCACCAATACACATTATCCCAAGTGGAACAAAGATCTTTGGTCAGATATTGCTGCTTCTTAGCTGTTTCTTTGGCGTTAGAGACAAGATGCCCACAAGCCCCACTAGTACAGCCGTGCCAGCGGAGCACCGCAGCTAAGCTACAAACCCTGCCACACCAGCATCACTGTTTTGCTTCTGACACTAGATGAACTGCACATAAGGAACAGAAGGTGCAAAATTCAGAGATTACAAAAAAATACATGGTCCTCCTCTGACATCAGCCTGCTGTTCGTTTCCTTCCAACACTCGGCTCTTACCCTGTTTTCGTTTCAGTACTAGTGGCTTCCTCCTCCACTTCTGAAGCATAAGAAGGGAGGGAGGCACCAGGAAAATAGAAAACAGGAAAAGTTTGCCACTTCTTTTTCTTTTTTTGACAGCTACCTCCCCTCGCCTCAGCCAGAACCGGAGCACAGGTTCTCAGTTACTTCCTACTTTCACTTGTTGACACCAGATGAGACCACAGGAGTTAAATAGTTACGAACAACAGTCGCAAGGACGGACCCTGCCTGAAACTTGAATTTGCTCTGTGTGAAAATATCCTGGGGAAATTTAACTGTCAAGCCTCAGAAAGCTTCCACTACTCATGTGAGAGCTGTGATTTTTTCTTTTCCCCAAATATTCACTTGTGTGAATTTTCACAGGGAAAATCGAAGGTACAGCTTTGACAACAGAAGATAAAATTTCAAAGCCCCCAAACTTGTGTATTTTTTCAAAGCCAACATTACAATTTTCACATGCCCAAAATACCCTTATCACTCTTAATATCACTGCACTGTGATCAGTATTACTACATTTTCTCAAAAAAATACTCACCTTGATACAGATGCTAAGCACGTAACTGTTCATTCAACCAGCTATTGTCAGACAAACTAATGGGCAACTGAAACCAACCTTACAGTAAGTATTAGACAAATTAGAATCACAGAATTGTTTAGGTTGGAAAATACCTTTAAGATCATGAAGTCCAACCGCTAGCCTAACACTGCCATCCCACCACTAAACCATGTCCCTAAGAGGACATTACTAGCAGACAGATGGATCAGCCCTACCCTAATCAACCACATAATTCCAGATAGTGAAGTTAAGAGAGCTTTGTTTCAGACAAACTAAGCCTCACCTGCACCTCACTTAAACGACCACTCTGCTGTTGGTGGAAAGACACTGGACACCTTCAGGAAGCAATTTATATCCCATGTGAAACACGTTACTGTGCAAAGTGTTCAGTTATTTCAACTGTTGAGCAGGTAAAGGCTCTAAACTTGGACATTTGGCAAATGAATGTGGGCTATCCAGTGTACATGCTAATCCCAAAACACTTACTAGACTTCACAGAACAGTCATTTACTCTTCACTGGGTTGTAGCCAAGCTGCTTTACTGTAACATAACAAGTGGAAAAGCCCATTACTCAGCTAGCCTTGCTTCTCTGTCTCACAGTAAAAAATTAAAAATATCTTAGATCCCATATAATACCACTCAGGGACTTAAAGATCTAAGACAAATGAATGGTTTAGCCAGTAGCATCAGCCACTCTGGAACACTTTGCTGAGCATACAGTCCCGTGCTGATTTCACCAGTTGTATATGGGTTAGCAGAACAAACACTCGCCACAGTATCTGCCCTAACAACTCCAGTATAGTACCTTTTTCCTCTACAGGAGACACAGACAGCAGAACACTGCAATTTCTTTAACTCTAGCTGTCATAAAAGCCTTGGCCTCTTGAAAACCACCAATCTTTTATCTCCTGAAACCCGCTGCTTACTTACTCTCTATGCAGAAATGTGACCATCTTCAAGAAAGGAAGCAGAGCAACGGGGAGTTTTCATGAGCTCTGATCTAACTCTTAGATTGTGGGGCCAAGCAAGCATTAGAGATCAGGCGACAGCGTGTGAAGTTTTTCATAATGTCTGTCCCAGGTTACAAAGTAGCTTCTGCCTGCACGTAGATAAATCACAGATACTGCATCAGTAGTTGCACTCAACTCATATCTAACAGCGCTACGTTTCTTTTAACACCAAGATTTTTGTAAGCATCCGATCATCTCTGTCGTTCTGGATGTGAAACTATGAAACCGCTATTAAAGCGGTGCGGATAGTAACACTTACAAAGCACAGATGCTTTCTGTCATGGGCTCCATTTTCAGTAGACTATGACAAGGCGACCCCTTTCCTCTCTGCCAGCCAGCACTGTTTTACTAGAAGCCAGTTTTGTGATTGTGTTTTCAACCCAGTTTTTACAGGCACTGCATACCTGGTGGAGTCATACCCAGAAGCGGAGCTATTTCAGTGTGAATAAAACAATGTCAGCACACAGCCCTCCCGTAACACTTGGAGCTCACCTACACCCAAGCCTGTATATAGACCCGGGATAGGTGTCTATGCTGTACTACCCATTAAAGAAAGAAACACATACATGGACACAGATGTATATAGAGTTACATGAGACGGTATGTGCACAGATGTGTGCGTGTTGGCAAACATGTAATAAATAATAAAATCTGGCTTACTCTATGGAGTCAGCCAGACAATTTAGATACTTTTTTGTCTCAAACAGGTTTGAGAAGTCAAAGCATTTCCAGGAAAGAATCGTACAGCTGACAGGTAAACATGACTAGCTAGTATATGTGCCATATTTAGCAATATATAGGAAATATATAGGGAATATATTAAGAGCTAAAGGTAGATTTAATGGTTTCTGACTATTCTAGGATATATTTTGACTTTCAGTACAGATCCTGATTTAGGGCTTTTTCACTGACCTCACTGGCAGCTGCAGAAACTTGACACATTACAGGTACCTATCAGTGTTTTGCACCCTCCAAGCCCTAAGCTGCTGCTTTTTTTTTTTTTTCCCCTGTATTTAACTATGGTTTTAGAACATTAGCATGTCTTTTTTGTGGCTTGAAACAACGTGTGGAATGAACAAAGGAGCAATTAACCACTTACTGAGAGATAACAATGATTATTTAGTAAATGTTACAAGTAGGAGAACCAATAAAGGTTTATAAAATATGTCCAATGATATGACCAGTAACATTAAAAAAAAAAAAAAAGTGCATGAGACAAGCTGGAGGTACTTACTCACCAGATTAATATGGTCTCATGCACACCCAGCCACCATTGTCAAAACCAGTACTGAAATGTGGGTAGATTTTATTACTTCTCGCAGTGTTTCTTACATTCTCTCAGCGGGAGTCTTTCCATGAACCTGGAAAAGGTTGGCATTAGGCACTAAGTTAAGCTGAAATCTCAGAAATATTTAATAGATGACAAGGAAGATGCAAAGTTCCGCTCAATTTATACAAACCCAACTTGAGTTCTAACCCTCCAGGAAGACAGCCAGTTTTTCCTTGTTCAATGTCATGAAACAGCTGGCTTAAGTCTGCTCTTTGCTTTCGAGCAACGTTTATTCATTACAGCTATCAATCTTGAAGGTATCCAACCACCTGTGCCTTTGCATACAGAGAATACTACTTTAGCTTATAACTGCTGGATCTATGCTCTTTTTTTTTGGCATGAGGTCAATGGCTAGTTGTAGTTCATCCTCTGTCTACTGGAGAAAATGACTGGAACTAAAAAATAAATATTCTGTAAATAAATAAAAAAAGTCGTTTGGGTCCTTCTATGTCTTTGGTAACATTCTACCTAAGCCTCCCTCTTGAACCTCTGTCTACACCTCACTTTTGGGCAACTGGAGTGTCTTTCTTTGAATGTACAGCTTTGTTCAGTCACATGCATGATCAATCACCAACCGTGCAACTTCCTCACCAGCCCTGTAAGTCAGGGAGTGGGTTTGGGTTCTTTTGTTTTGTGTGGTTGTCTGTTTGTTTGGGTTTTACGGAGTAAATATTTTTTGTGCCATTTAACTTTTAACTGTGATAGGTTTCATAGGTAAACAAAGTAATATAAACAAAGTTTAACCTCCTCTAAGCATAGAGCTTTAGAAGAACTGGAAGGATGACATTGAGAATGAACGACACGAGTGCGCAGATTAAATATGGGCAGATTCTTATCTTGATCATCATAATTTGCAAACTATAACGCTGCTGCATATCCAGTTCCTGTTAGTTCATTAAAACATATGACAGCATCATTATTTCATCTTTCATCTCCACAGCTTATGTATACTGACACTTACTTTTCACATTGCGAACACAAAAGGTCAACGGAATCATAAAAGGACATTTTCAGGCAGCTTTCCAAGCAACAACGAGAGTTATTGCAATGAGGATTTAGATAGACAGCTTCAGGTAAGACACACACTGAAGACAGAGGA